GTCTCAAAATTAGGCAAAAGTATGTGATATAATATATTCAAATTTGGAACTTTTTAAAATAATTAATTTTCCTATCGATTGATCAAATACATGTCTGTCAAGACATTTTTTGTCCTTAATTCCGGCTGCTATCACCCCCCCCCCCTTTCCCCAACATCAGGTGGACATCACGCACAAAAATGTCGCTTTGTTTTACCAAGCAAAAATCAAAGAGTTCGATTCCTATCGCATTCTTTGAACAGCTTGGCTCTTGCCAACATTTAACTCGGTCATTGGGCAAGCGGTCAGCAAGAAGAAAGGGAGACACTGCATGTCACACCACTGTACAAATCTTTAACGGCAACAGCGTTTGGCTTGCTTCAACAAACAGCAGACGTCTGTGTAATGGGAGGGGGGGGGACACATGTGTGGCTGTTTGCACGCCTAATTTAGATTCAACATCGGTGGGGCAATTCTGACCCGACTTATTTTGTGTGAGATGTTTAAAAAGTCAAAATATGGGTTGTAGGCCAACATCATAACTTTGAAAGTCAAAACAAATTATGTAAATAATAACATTCTGAGTCAAAACATATTCTGTATATAATAACATTCGTAGTCAAAACATACTCTGTATATAATAACTTTCAAAGTCAAAATGTATGTTGTATAAAAAGGTTGCCTAAACCCGGGATCGAACCAGGGACCTTTAGATCTTCAGTCTAACGCTCTCCCAACTGAGCTATTTCGGCTAGTAATATACAAGTACAGTTTGACGTTGATATTAATGTTGCCATCAGGAAATGTTGATATCGACATGAGGACAGGTTGATGTTGTGACAGGTTGATGTTGGCGTTGTGACAGGTTGGTGTTGGTGTTGTGACAGGTTGGTGTTAGCGTTGTGACAGGTTGATGTTGGCGTTGTGACAGGTTGATGTTGGCGTTGTGACAGGTTGATGTTGGCGTTGTGACAGGTTGATGTTGGCGTTGTGACAGGTTGATGTTGTGACAGGTTGGTGTTGGCGTTGTGACAGGTTGGTGTTGGCGTTGTGACAGGTTGGTGTTGGCGTTGTGACAGGTTGATGTTGGCGTTGTGACAGGTTGGTGTTGGCGTTGTGACAGGTTGATGTTGTTGAGACAGGTTGATGTTGGCGTTGAGACAGGTTGATGTTGGCGTTGTGACAGGTTGGTGTTGACGTTGTGACAGGTTGATGTTGGCGTTGTGACAGGTTGGTGTTGGCGTTGAGACAGGTTGATGTTGTTGAGACAGGTTGATGTTGGCGTTGAGACAGGTTGGCGTTGTGACAGGTTGGTGTTGGCGTTGAGACAGGTTGATGTTGTTGAGACAGGTTGATGTTGGCGTTGTGACAGGTTGGTGTTGGCGTTGTGACAGGTTGATGTTGGCGTTGTGACAGGTTGATGTTGGCGCTGTGACAGGTTGGTGTTGGCGCTGTGACAGGTTGATGTTGTTGAGACAGGTTGATGTTGTTGAGACAGGTTGATGTTGGCGTTGTGACAGGTTGGTGTTGGCGTTGTGACAGGTTGGCGTTGTGACAGGTTGGTGTTGGCGTTGTGACAGGTTGGTGTTGGCGTTGTGATAGGTTGATATGGACATAAAGACAGGTTGATTTTAGCGTTGAAACAGGTTGGTGTTAGCGTCAAGACAATTCTGATGTTGCCGTCGACATAAGCTGGACCCCCCGACGTGAGTTAATCTCGCCGCACGAGCGTCTCGTGCCTGTGTCAGCCCCCCGACCGAGCCCGTCCCACCCCATCAAGTGCTCACCCAAGCATGTCTAATCAGGGGAAACAACTGCGCTGCACCACACGGAAATGCATCTCATAATTGTGTCACAAGTTGAAATTATTTCAAGTTTTTTTTCGTGCGTTTGTCAGTTTTAATTTTTGTCATGTGTATGTCAGTTCTAATTTTTTTCATATGTTTGTCAGTTCTAATTTGACACGGACAAATAGTCGGTTGTATACTCACAACTTCACCATGATATAATCGGGAATTGGATTTGCAGTGTTAGGTTTATTATTACGAGCCGACCCGCGGCGTATTATACGCCGCTATTTAGTTGTTTTATTTTCTACTTTTCAGTAATTCATAATTTGTGAATTCTACAGTACCAATGCTGCCACTGAAAATATTTGCTTTAAAACACTAACCCCTCCCTTTCCCCTAACCCCGACCCTACACCCCCCCCCCCCCCCCCCGTGAATGCAGCCTCCTCTTAGTTATTTCTTAGTTACCTACTGTAAGTTTAAAATCGAACTAAATTATCTGCCCCTAATAGAAACCCGGCTGTACGGCTCTACGATTTGTAAACATTTAGCTTTGTAAACATTTAGCGTGACCACAACTCACCAGACAATGTGGGGGTGGGGTGGGGGTGGTAGTGATAGTGATAGAGAGAAAGAGAGGGGACTGCAAGGAGGCGCTTGCAACTTGTTTTCTAACGGCTCCCAGAAGAAAATTATATATATATATATATATATATATATATTTATATATATATATATATATATATATATATATATATATATATATATATATATATAAATATATATATATATATATATATATATATATATAGATAGTGAAAGTAGCGATGATGGGGAAATACCCGATTTTAATGTTATGTTTTAGTGTTGAAAGATACTAAGACCAACGTTCAATAAAGGACATGTAGACCAATTCTCATATTTTAATCATTTTAATCTAGTTATGTTGTTTCTTGTATAGTAATCCTCCATGTATACTTTCTGTGGCAGTTTTGTGGTCAGTTTACTGGCATATTACTACAGGGCGCAAAATGGTGGTCGTGGATTTATGCTAGACTTATAACTTGTGGTGTAACTAGGATTTTCGGGTGTCACCCTTAGTAAAGGCATAGGATGACACCTGGCCCATTAGCGCCACTATAAACAAAACAATATTTTTAAAATTTGTTTTTTTCCCCTTGTTTTTGTTTGCAAAATGATTATTAAATAAGTAACTTAAGATGTTTTCTAGCTGCTTCTGTTTAATACTTAGGATAGCCGTTACTGACACAAATGGCATGTCTACAATTGTTTCATAACATCTTCATATTGAGCAAATCGTGTATTTTTAGACTCGACACATTATTTCTAAGACAGTTTCAAATGTAAACAACGTTGGCGCTAAGTACATTGTGTGGACGTGGCCGTGCAGTATGATAGCATTGAGTCATGTTCATCACTCTCCGTAACAGTGAGGTAGAGCATTCATCGGTGGCCGCCAGGGGGCGTCGGGGAGGAGGTGCTCTCTTGAGACAGCAGGTACCCTACCGCAGGGGGCGCAGGGTGTGACCCCTGGTTCGGTTTAGTCATCAAATGTAGCAGACCAATGTAGTACACCCAATCAACGCACCCCGCGTTTTCAGATAGCCGCAACGGTCGGGGTGATGATTTCATTCTTAGGCTTTAGTGTATGGCGCTCATTAAAAAGAACATAGGTGCATTAGTGCTAATGGGGAGTCAGGGGTGAGAAGGGCCAAACGACCGCCTGGGCGCCGATCGATGCGCCTGGTGCAGTTTGACCGTTATATAAACTAGTACCTCTAGCAAGCTGTGCCGGACGCCCAATCACCTGACCTCAGGTGCTAAGAAAGCCGCTGGGGAACTTAGAGCGCCCGATCGTACTTGTCTACCGGGGTGCCGACCTCCGGAATAGAAATAAAAATGGGAAAAATCTTCCAAGGGGACAGAGTTTCTTTCTAGCTTTTCTTTGTTAGAACAAATGGACCATAGCAATATTAATTACAAAACCTTAGGGTTGGTTTGATATCCATCTCAAATTAACGAGACTCAATAGTGTATATTGTGTTTTTTTCACCATTGTGTGTGTACCTAGAAATACGGTATACAACCATCCAAATTTCGACTTGTAAAATTACTGCGTTGGTGAGGTACACACTTTTATGGCATACATAGCACCAAATGTAGCGTCAAACATCCTACCACATTAGTGAAGATGAATTCTATGTGATCGATTGTACCAACAACTGCTGATACCAAAATAGTGCTGAGATAGACGGGCATCAGTCAATGTAATTCTTTACTATCGGCAGGTAACTTATGGCTAACGCCGATGTGTTTTTAAAATATGGTTCGTTTTTAGCTGGGTACACAGTACCTACAACTGTTTTAATCAGCCCCGACCCCCCCCCCCCCCCCCGACACGATCATTTCTGCCTTCCACCCCCCCCCCCCTCCCACCCACCCACACCTACTAAATAAAATATATTCGTTTAAAACGCTTCATAAACCTGTCAAGAGTACTTAATTTAAATAACCGAGTAACACCATAACACCAAAAACTGCTTATTTAAATAACACCGTACCACCAACAACTGCTGTGTCCAATACCTCAGCTGGTAACATGTATAAAAACAATATAAAACACTAATTGTCCCGCAAACAATGTGCGTCATGAAGTGTTCGTGTTAGGCGTGAACAGAAGATTAAAAACAATCCTAGTACAAACGCATGCAATCAAGATTGAACACAATTCTACTCAACAATTCAGCGGGGTGTCGGGAAGAACAGGCGAGTGAGTGACAAGCTGACCATTACAATCATCGAAATAGATTTCATGACACCATAAGCATAGGATTCAAACATTGAAATAAAACAATCAAACATAGAATTCATTGAATTTATCATTCAAATATTTTTAAAGAATTATTTAAAAAGGGCTTTTCTGGAATAAAAAAATATAGATCTGCTTGTAAAAAACACAAAAGCATTGGTATTGCAAATTGTAAAGCTATATTCGTGATACTATGTATTTTAATGTTTTATTTTTTTTTATTCATAGGGTTAGTTTCTGTTGTCTTACCCGTCTAGGGTTAATTCTTGTAAATTCACCTGCATGTTATGTGTTAGTTTCTGCAGATTCACCTGCATGTTTATGGTTAGTTTCTGAACATTTACCTGTCGTAGATTTGTTTTGTTGTAATTGTACCTGATTAGTAAGTTGCTGTAGATTTACCTGTGATATGTTGCACTGCCGGCGTCGTACCAATGGGTAATCCTCTATTAGTTAGTATGTAACATCACATAAAGTAATCCCAACACATACGTATTTCATACATGAGACGAAGTATCTTTATAAATAGATATCCAAGTAAAGAATTAGTTTTGTATCCATTATTATCCTACATGAAGTACACAATAATCCACAGTAATCCACTAATCCAATGTAGGCGCTCACAAAACTTAATTCCCGACAGATCTAAGCTGTACTATCCACTTTTATAGTGGGATCCCAGGATCAATGTACAGACCCCCACCCCCCTCCACCAGACCCCCACCCCCACACAGACTCTTCCACCCCCAAAAGTGGTAGCGCCCCAATCTCGTCGTTGAGACTTCAGCCAATGGAAGCTGTCCTGTCTTCACTGCGGTACTACAAACATGGCGGCGTCGTCTGCTGGTCCCTGCATCAAAACCACCTGGTACCTCGTCATGTGGAAACTAAAAATTAATTAGTCGGTCGTTAGTTAATTACACATTTTCCCTGAAGCTAGTTGAGCTACTTACTTTTCGAGTTATAAATTACTTAATGTGAATAGTCATTACAGAAATACATTATCCTAACCAAGCTCTATTTATCAAAGCCTAGCCGTCATATAAACTATAAACCCGTTGTATAGAAGGGCCCATACATGTTGTTTAAAGCAGATAAGTTGATAAACCTGGTTTGAAATGCATCATAATTCTACACATGGGCACATCTGTGAGCAGTATCGATTTTTAACACGCATTTTTAAATTGATTTTGTGTCGCTCTGTAGCATTTGTTATTGTTGGTACGTTTTTGATACTCCTCAGGTATTGACAACTGTTATTTATTTATTTATTTATTTCTTTTTTGAGTTCGATCACACCACAGCTTCCGTTATTGATGTTGTGTTTACCATCAAGCTTCTGCTGATTTTAGAGTTGTTATTTTTGTTTGGTATTGCGATGACGTTTTCTGGGTGAGGTTGGGTGGTTCGGGGTCGTGGTGGTGTGGGGGATTAAAAAATGCGCAACCAATGAGAGCCAAGCCGTACCTGTTAAGCCGGCAGGTCCACGCGGACTGAAACTCCCGGCATTCGTACGGCAGAAGCCGGCTCATGGCCACTCCCATCTCCCTCGGCCATTGGCTGCGTCATGACGGCTCTTGGAAGCTGGCACTGGAGTCACGGCTTGTGCGTCAAGACTGGTGCGTCACCGCTGGACCATAGGTTGGGGTACAGCTAAGGATGGTAAAAAGATCAGAATGTAGACTTTTTTTTGACATCATCTAATTACGTAATGATTAGGTAAAATAAAAATAAGAAACATTTAATTTTTTTTTTATAAACTTGCAATTATTGGAATAATGATGTAAAGAGGAACATCTTTTACTAGAGAAACCTATAGAACATTTCTGATATATATATATATATATATATATTTATATATATATATATATATATATATATATATATATATATATATATATATATATATATATATATATATATATATATATATATATATATATATATATATATATATATATATATATATATATATATATATATATATATATGTGTGTGTGTGTGTGTTTGTGTGTGTGTGTGTGACTATAAAAGATGGAACGACCTAATCAAATGTAAATGTTGTTCAATTGTTTATTTTCTAGACTTGCCTGATGAACACAGATGAACTTGCGGACACCCTACACATACAGACCTGCACACATCAAGATCGGTGGAACGCCAGTAGGGGGTGCCCGCCCCTCCTTTCACCATTTTCAGGAAAGCGGCGCCCTTTTGTTGTTAATTTAATTAGTTATACACCCATGTGTGTGATATTTTTAGCTTGCGATCAAATGGCGAACAATCAGCGAACAAAGAACGAGGAAGAGTCGAACAAATGGAAGTAGTAAGCGGAATCATCCATTGTTTTTCTTTCCTTGTTTGGGTGAGGTGGGTTGGGGTGGGGGTAGATAGATATCAATCTATAGTTAGTGCTTAATGAGATCCTCCCATAGATATACAAGTAGGCCTATACAACAATGAACAGAAGGAAATTTTTTAAATATAAAATGTAAAAATAAGAAAAAATTATAATAAGCGTAGATATCTCGCTACCATTTTTCACAAAATATTTTGAGAGTGGTGTAGGGCATATCCACCGCCTATAATGAAATGTTAGTCGCTGTCCTAAATGAGTAATGAAGTAAATCTCTGGCTATTCAGTATTATTTAAATCGTGTACTTTCCTTGTACGTCCGTGCAACATGGTTGGGGGGGGGGGGGGGGGCAGCACAAATGTGCTGATTCAGCACCTCGTGTAATTTATAACAGGAATGTGTTGTTACCGCTCATTATATTTATAAAGGCGTCCGCTTTCATATAGACACTAATCAACTACATCACTCTAATTATCTAGCCCGATTTGTAAAACGAACGCCATCTTCATCAAATTCGGCTTTTAGCTCATTTTTGTTTATGATTGCCAGATATCTACTGATGGATTCCAATATCAACTGTAGCTATACAGTTCAGCTGGGTGTTGTACGGTGGGTTTGTGTTGTAAGGTCACGTGGGTTGGTGTTTACTTGTATGTTCAATCTCATGCCTAGATAGTAGGTCCACACAGTAATAGGTATCATACAAATATTACATTACAAAAAAAATTACACTTTTGACCAACATGTTTACATATTACATTTGGTCAGAATGTCAGTGAATTCGTGTTATTTAAAGTGTACGATAACTTACAACACCAAATCAAAATTCACAAGATTAACAACAGATATAAGTCTTAAATATTGAACAGGTTGACATGAAACTGTGCATATACTTATATCAGTAACATCGACTTACTCTGTTATGTGCCCAATAGACCTAACGACTTACACTGACACAATAGATTGGTGCCCAATAGACCTAACTGACACTATAGAAGGGTGCTCAATTGACCTAACTAGACTTACTCTGTTCAAATAGGTTCAATCAGGTTCACCAGCCTCAATCCAAAATGTTGTCGCCTTCAATGTGTGGGTGCGTGTTAGAACATACATCAAGCTAGGCATTCTTGTTAGAATATTCTTAGTTTTGTAATGGTAGTTACCCTAATCATTTAACTGGCAAAATGGAAACATGATTAATCAAGTGTGATGGCATTTTATAAAAAAAAAAAGAAATGAAAGAAATAATATATTCTAATAAAGGTTCACTCAAAATATATTTACATTTTTAAATGTCAAAAATGTTGATGAAAATGAATCGCCGAAACCCGGGATCGAACCAGGGACCTTTAGATCTTCAGTCTAACGCTCTCCCAACTGAGCTATTTCGGCTGGTAGTATTAACACCAACAATTTGACACTAATTACTAAATTATTTTTAAATTGAATTTTTATATCGTTTGTCAAGTTAGAGATTTGTAGATTCAGTAGTTAGAAGCATCCAAACATCTGGTACTTACCATTAACACATCTGGAACAGCTCCACCAAAACACATGGAACACCATCACCAACATACCTGGAACACTTGTGACACCAAATTGGCACACACACAGTCAACACACCTGGGACACTATTTATCACCATACCTGAGACACCACCACCACACTTGGAACACCATCACCACCACACATGGAACACCATCACCAACACACCTGGAACACCATCACCAACACACCTGGAACACCTGTGACACCAATCTGACACACACCACCAACACACTTGAGACACCACCACCACACCAAGTACTTACCACTACCACATAAACTCATCATCATCTCTTTGTCTGCTGAAAGATGGACCTGGTCTGTAGTTGGCCTTGTGTTCCCTTCATTTAAAACTAACACTGTTGAAGGATTAATAATATAAGCTATTGGTGTAATCGTCAATACCTGATGATCTCATTTTATTACAACTAGCTGTCGGTACCCGTTACACGTGAATTACAGGCCTATATATTTTTAACGTTAAACATGTTTGAGAAAAATATTTTATAAAATAGTTATTTTTTTTTAAAACGCAATGTGCTTTACTACACGTTGAACGGTATTAGTGACAAAGCAAAGAAATAACTAAATAGCAAAAAATCCGACACATTTGAAATAACAAAGGCTAACAATACCTATTTAAAGAAGCCAATATATATACATTATATTTAGAAGTCAACACAACACCATATTAAATAAACACACTGATTAAGAGACTTAAATGATTCCTTAAAAACCCGGCTGTTCAATGGTATTTCTGTTGCTTTTCAAAGTAATGTGTATTATTTTGGCCGAGAAAATTGTATACATTTTACAGAGTACGTCTCTATAAGAAGATCTATAGATCTAAATTAAATTTGACTGAAATAGTTCATTTCTTCATCATCTAAAATTGGAAGATATGGCAACTTTTTTTTTGCGACCACAGCAACGCGTGGGACGGGTACGCTAGCTACTTACATTCTCATATTGCAAAGAATTAGTTTTTACTGCTGTCCTAAGTATAGAAAAAGTATGGGGATCAACTTGGGTGTGTACTTTCACAAATAGTTGAGTCCCTTACACCGCGAACGGGAGCCTATCTATAACCCTTGACAATGTCTACACCCCCTGACAATGAACAAACGACAACTAACCGTAATAGAGCGGTTTTTTAAAAACAGGTCATATTTGAACACAATGGCTGACTTGTGTTCACATTTCACTAAACTTAGACTAGAATCAGTGGACAACTTGTGACCGTCATTTATATTTGCAGAGAATTGTCCTCAGTGGTGGATGAAATACTGAAGCCATAGGTAGGAATACAGCTACGGGTTTGCAAATTTTAAACTATTTCATTGTCTTCATAACACGATGTAAATAGTGCGTGTGGTAGTTACCGGGCCTCGGATATTGTTCAGCCTGTGGTCCCCATATTTTAGTTACACGATAAAGAGGACCTGTATCGCTTATATTTTAGTTACACAATACAAAAGACCTCGAATATTGTTCAGCCTGTAAAAGTAAAGTTTCCCTTTCAAACCTGACGGTCTATGGGGCAAGTGAAGTAGAGTTCACTTGTTTCTGTGACCTCGGCATATGAAGAGATAGTGTGGTCAGCACTATGCCCAGCCGCCTTTACTCTCCGTAACGTGAGTTAGGTACCCATCAGAATTGGGTGGACTCAGGGACGGTCTACTGACTTGAATCCGGATTCGTACTCGAGACTTACGGGTTAGCAGTCCAGCTCTCTACCGCTAGACCACTCCGTCCCATTGT